ATAGTAGTCTAGCGGAATGATTTATTACTGGACTTTTTGTTTGCTGATAGTTCACTTTTATCTTTTCATTGTCACTTCGAACGACACATAATCAAAAGAGAAACTATATTCGAAACCGCCCCCAGCATCCGAATTTTTTTGCTCAGTTCATTTTCAACTCTCAAACACAATGGATACTTCGTGGATTCTACTGGTTTGGATTTTGTTAGAAGGTACAGCAAATGGTGCGGTGAAAACATGGATAAAAGATCAAAGTGAACCGTGGGGTGAAAGTAATGTCAATAGCAACGAGTGTACCATATTCAAAAAGGAACTCGAGGGATTTCTCTACATGGACGCTCAAGAACATCACCTTCAAGAAGTCATTTTGCCGGTGGACGGTGCACTTGTCTTACCAACTCAGTCAAAAGTTCAATTTTCCAATACAAACCAATGCGAAGCCGATGAGAATGAAGCACATTTTTTGGGTAAATCAAAGCGATTATGGTTTTCAACATCAAGTTGGCAAAGCGAAGGTGAGAGTGTAAATGTGGCAAAAGCGGATATTTTTAAAATTCCTTGCGAATGTGATACGGTTGAGTTTCCGAGTAAAAATATCTATGCTGTTGATTTGCAGTTTGTCGATGAAATTGTAGTCGATCAAATTCTGATCAACGATCGAACGGATAATATTGAACAGTTTTTGGAAACACCACTTGGGCAGAAAATGTTTTTAAATTCAGAGGCGGTTCATTTCTCCAAAGGTTTTTGCGATCCACAAAAATATTGTGGATGCCATAATCAAAATCGGTTTAAAAAATATACTGAAGTTTTATGTGAAGAAGAATCAAAATATTGCAAAGAACCGCATTGTTTAAATCCAATCAAGCCTGAAGGTCATTGTTGTCCGATTTGTGGTGCAATTTTGAACTTCAAAACTCAAGACAGTTGCGATTTCAATATGACTAATATGAGAGAAGTTGGGCGTAAACTAAGGCGTTTTCGCAATGGAAAATATCTAAATAAATTGCATTATTATGCTGGAATGGTGCCGGGCAAAACGAACACCGAAAATATTGTACAATTAGTTGTGGCTGAAGTTGATGACTATTCCGGCATTAGCGTTGAATTTATGGATTATCTCACAAAGGATCAACATTTTCAAGGTGAAACCAATTGAAAAAATAAATAAATAAATTTGATTCATTTTTAATTGAATTTTTTCTTTAAAATGATGATTTGAGTGATTTCCTTTGAGTTTGATGTGATCATGAAATTTCATAATCTCATTTTCTACAATTTGATTTATCCAAAATAATAAATATTTCTCTTTCAAATTTCAAGTTGACGCCCTACGTGAGCGCATATCTTCTGGCGATCGATATGTCCGCGGAGAATCATCAGCATTAACCATTATATTCTTTACATTTTTGTTCGTGCTATCCATTTACGTTGTAATTTACGTGCATTATGTTCGTGAACCAAAGTATGATACTTGGATGCCAATAACGCGTTTGAATCTACTTCGTCGTTCGGTGGCATTTGCCAGATTTGAAAATCTTCATAACGATGATGAAAACGGTAGAATTGATGTTGGTGTGCGCTATGAAAGCGGCGACGAATATGATGATGAAGCCAACGAGAAGCCGAATGAATGCAATAATCCAATGTATGAACAGGTGGCAATGGGTAGTGTTGAAACGGATATGTTGCAACCATCAAGTACAACATTACAGCAAACCGATGAAGCGGGCTCACTAAGCACTGATATTAAATTAGTTGATATAAGTTTGAATGCAATCGAAATGTAAGATCAACGCTGTCAAACAAATTATATATTATATATTATTTCAATAAATAAAATATCTGTTTGAATTGCGCAAAATGTTTTTAATTCAAACATAGTGACAACAATAATTTTCATTAATTAGCATGTTTCCGCCAGTAGCGACGATGTTTGAGATTTCCATGAAGTGATATATTGAAGCGCTTTGAAACAGGTGGTTTTTTTCTTAATCAAATCATTTGATCTCGACACAGAAAGTATAACTTTCAAAATTAACCGCGAGAATATGAAATAAATGATAGAAAAGACAGTGTCATACACACACACACTTACATCCATCGTACATCACAGTCGTGAATAATAATTTGATTGTTTGTTGACTGAAATGAAAACACATTGAATGCGTGACCAAATCAGTTATTTGAAATTATAGATGAAACAACAAGTGGTATTGCGCCAGCCCAGTGAGAATGCCTTCACTACGTTTACAAATGCTACGTAGTGTATACGAGAATAAAAAAAAATCAATAAAATTGTACTAAACCTAATTGACTCATTGTAAACGATTGCGATGCAAATTCCACCGAGAAAAATGCCACAAAGTAGCTCAAAGCGTCTAATTGCATACCGATTAGCAAAGCAATAATTGCGTGCGTCTCACATTACACTGGAATTTATAACAACAACATCGTTCAAAATGTAAAATATAAATGCTGTCATTTCTCAAATTCCAACCGAAATCTATGTACGTATACGCAATATATTGCTGTCAGTTAGTAATAGTTCCATGTTCACGCCGTTCCAGTTGTACGTTTCGTTCAGTGAGACTGAGAAAAACACGACACATACACGCATTTGTTTGACAAAAGCTCAAATATTTTGTTGATTTTTTTTCTTCTCTCATCTAAGTGTACCGCAGTCAAATTCCTTGAATGAATTTATATGGCTGCATTCATACTTATCGCGCTTAGTCTCGGTTCTGATCTGTATAAAGTCGGTGTACGTTGTATCGAATCTGGATTATCTTGTGCAAGTATTTTGAATGCATTAAAAGATATTCACGACGAAGTTCGTGCGGAAAACTATTTAAAGTGCATTGACAAAATCTATGAAAATCAAAACGACAGTGAATTTCACTTGAAGGGCATTGAATGTGTAAATTGTCGTCGTAAAATCCAGCGTTTAAAGATGATTTCGAATAATGAAATTGACAATGGATACGCAATTGATGGTTGTGAAGGGGCATTCGAAATTTTGTCACACGTAAGTTGAAATTTATGTTTTTTTTTCTATTGCGCAAAATAATAGCAACAAAAATATCAATCGCAATGTGACTTACAGCAAAACTGACACATAAATAGTATGTGTACACACAAAGCGAACAATGTGAGGTTATCTGGATAAATAAAGACAAATTGTGTTTGACAGCTCGGGTGTTGTGAATGTGCGTGTATGTGTGTTGTGGAATTTATTCTACGTAGTTTTCCCATTCGTCTACGCTTTGAATCATAATAACAGTACTTTACGAATGGATGATTTGAAGTGTATCCAAAACAATGAAACGTCTATGCATGGTGATTTTGCGCTATTCAGTTCGTCAATCCATTAGCACACGCTGAAGTGTGCAAATACCAAGACTGTCGACGGTGAACCTGTCGTTGTCTCTATATATACTCCGTTAAATCGTGCTAGTGGCATTTTTTTTTTCGTTCCTTTCGTTCTGTGCTGCAGTAATCAACAAGCTGTCCATAAAAAATACTTACACTTTTTGTGTGTCTTGTGTGTATATATTTTTGCGTTCAATTTGTATTATTTTTGCACGATTAGCTCATACGCGTGTATAGATATAGACGAGTAGCACACATCAAACTCATTAACGTGTTCGTCTTCGTTTTATTTATTTATTTTTTCATACATTTAATTTCGCTTACGTTAGTTCGTGTTATTTAATTGTTAGTCAGAACACAGCACACCCAAAAAAAAATCTTGCTCAACTCAATAAAAATATCATTGAAGACGTTATCATTGAATACTGTACTGCTATTGTGAATATTTGATTTGTTTCGTTCAGTCGATTGCTATAGATCGAACGTTTCGGTAAAAAAAAATCTGTTTTATTCAATTCATTATTTGAAACACGAACATTCCAAAAATTCTAGACAATTTCAAAATAAAACTAAAGCACACGCGTACGCACAACAGTTTTGGTTGAGTTTTTTTTGTAAATATGTGCACATAGTACCAATTCAATCAAAGATGGGATGTATAAAATTGTTTCAATCAATTTTTGGTTGTTGTTTTTACCAAAAACAAGTATGTAAATTCAATTATTTTTTTACTTTTAGAAAGATAAGAAAAGTGTTTTTTTATTATTATATCACCACTGCACTAAAACCAAAAATAGAAACTAGAAACGATGACCTAATCGAATTGCTAATCAATTGTTTATTGTGTTTCATTATTTTTTTCCCTTTTTAGTCTTCAGTAAGTGAATCACAATCGAAATTAGTCTGTGGAAATGAAAGTGCATTCAATTTTGAGTCACGCGTTGACTTAAAACTTGGAACCAGTATTTATGTCAGTGGCACCATTCTGAAGAACTGCGAAGGGTAAGTTTTTCTTGTTCTTAATATGAAAAAGTTGAAGAAACTCAATACACTCGGATGCATGATGATAATATTGCTAACTAAATAATGATAATTTTTGGAGGAAGAATTATAGTATGAAATATATAGCTTATCACTTTTGTACAAATCGGTTCGTTCTATAAAACACACAGACGTCTTTGATCAAAATGTGATTTTTTTAACGAAAAAAGGCAATAAACTTTTTGTTTTTCCACAGATTTGCAATAAATCTTACACTTGGTCATACACATAACGACATAGCTCTACATTTTAATATTCGCATCCCTCAGGTATTCTGATTTTTCGAGCGTTTGCCAATATTAATCAGTTTTTACTTGAATACAGAACTTTATTGTGCGCAACTCGAAGATCAATGGACGATGGGGCAAAGAAGAAACAACAGCATCGATGCCTTTTAAATTGAAGCGCGGAGAACGATTTGCCATTCAAATACTTGTCACCGAAGACAAGTACTTGGTGTCAGTGAATGGTTTACATTTCACCAATTTTGCTCATCGTATACCCTATGAAAGAGTTACTTGCGTCCAAGTCAAAGGAGACATTTGTGATGTGAATGTAGAACATTTTCCCATTATGGTAAGAAAATTGTACTTTCACAATATTCTCACTCAATTATATAGATAGATTGTATTGAATTTCAATCGAATATTTTTTTTCATCGTTATACTTCAGGAGTATCCAAATCGTGCTGATCAAACCGATATTATTCACAACATAGACCTTGTTAACGGATTTGATAAAGCACTTGTGCAATCTAATTCGGAGCTTGTAAGTTGTAATTTTTTGGGTTCTTTATCGAGGTCAAGCTTAAATAATAACATCTAAATAAAAAATTCATTTTAGGTGATGCCTTTTTATGGAAAACTATCGAGAAAATTAATAAACGGTTCTCGTCTGCATATAGTTGGACGTGTCAAGGTTCTGCCATACATGTTTTATATAAATCTACAAGAAGGTGATATCATTTGGCCGCACCCCACAATTCCATTTCACTTTAATGTTCGATTTACGACAATCGGCGGCAAAAATGTTATAGTGAAAAATTCTTGGCTGGACGGCAGATGGGATCGTGAGGAACGTAGTGAGATACATACAGATTTTATGCCAAGTCGTACATTTCATCTCGAAATTCTTCATACATCGGGCATCTATCACGTCTTTTTAAATGACAAACTAATTGCCGAATTTCATAAACGCACTGATCCAAGCATTGTGGACACCGTTTTCATTTATGGTGATATCAAACTGAAACACGTGTCTCAGGAACCAGAGAAAGGTCTTAACTAAACTAAGTAACTTTAGGCCTAAACCGACCAAACCGATTTTTGTGTAGTCTATCAAAATGTATTCATGCAGCTTTGCTATATACAATTTGGTTTCAGGGGCATGTCTGTCCGATTTTATTGTTTAAAAAAGTAACATTTACTGTTAAAGCATTCACCAAATATGACAATAAATCTGTGGTTTACTCTTGAATAGAAAAATATCACTATCGCACCTAGAGTGCCATGTAGTGTGATTTATAATGCGCTCAGAATTCTATTTCAAAAAAAAAATCTTCATTGTATACAAACTGGCTCAAGTTATATTTGAGTTCATTTTTTTAACATATGTTTTGTTTCTTTATTTTGAATTTGAAATAAAAAAAATTCTTCTCAAAAAGTTCAAATGATCTAGAGTTGATTTTATTTCTGCGATAAAATATAGAATGCTCAAAATTCAAATGAAATGTAAAAACTTACTGAATATCTGCCACCAAAATAGTTTTGAATTCTGAATGAAAGAAAAATTAAACAAAAAAAAAAAAAAACAATATTCGAGTTCAAACTGTTAAAGCTGTTTTGAATGGTATGAATTGAAAAAAGGGCTTAAAATTGTCATTTCGTTACGTACACAAATAAGACACAAAATATGTCAATTAAATTATTTCTCAATTTATTCACAAATTATCAAATGGCTCAGGCCTTGTAATTATTATTAACTGGTAAACTAACTAAAGTTCAACTTAGATTGAGTTTTATGACATTTTTCTAAGTTCACTTGCAGCTGCATTATTATAGGTCCCAGCATTTCAAAGTCACTATACTGATGTAATAAAAAATTGTCTCATTTCACCAGATAAAAGCCAGAGACACGATATTTGCCCGATTTGTCCAAATGTAAAAAGCGTGAATGCATATTTGTCTTTATATGTGGCTTGCTTTACTGTTAAACTTTACTTATTTATTTAATTATTTTGAATTTCTGGATTAGAATTTTATTGAAGATATAGATGGGCATTTCTTCAATCATGTTGTTGTGTTAGTTTAAATTGCACATCAAATTAGAAAAAACACTTAGAATTCCATAATGTGAATTTTTATTATCGATTTCAAGTAAATTTTATACATTTAAACTATTAAATCGCATCGATGCCGATCAGCGAATGCGTGCACAAGGACAATGGATACTATTTAACGAATTGGGGTCCATTCAAGCAAAATATCTCCATACTTTTTGCGTTCTGTAAACAGAGATAATGAACATGGGATTAAAAATCAATTTTAAGTAGATTTAAATGTGCGACATAATTGATTCAACACTATTAAGTGGAAAGTCAATCAAATTTTCAAACCAAAGTTTGGCTTTGGATACAAATACTGTCCAATTTCCAATTTTGTTTGCCATAATTTCATTTTCTACTTGTATTTGAAGTGAATTCAACATAAAAATCTCGCATAAAATTCATGCTTTATGTGTAGGGTCTTTATGTGTACCTGGTGGCGGGAAGTCATCTGGATGCAATTGAATATAATGTCGTAACATGGCATCTCGGTCTGCCCAATATGCTTCACGTTGGTTTCTCCACAATTGCCCAGCGGACCAACCCACGGCGGCATAAATTGGATACAAATAAGCACCTTAAAGCACAAAAAAATTCATTACAAAACACATGTCCGTGTGTATAAATACTTATCAAATTCATCATTACCAGCTATCAATGGTCGTTTGTAAGTCCAGTTTTTTACAACATGAACAAGACCTCCCAAAAAACCTAAGGAAGCTTGAACACCATATTTTGATGCTAAGCTTGGTGGTTCTGCGCTTCTACTGTCCAATAATTCCAATGCTGTTTTGCCAAATTTTGGCTCCGGCACATCTTTTGGGTCTACTTTCATTGTGTTCGTTTTTATTCCAACGTGCCGATTGAAACAATTTCTTTTTCGGTAATGTTTTTCTCTATCAAAAGAATTACGTAAAAAAATACAATTGACAGATGATGATAAAAATTGTGAGGTTAAACGTCATTCGAATAAAAAAGTAGTAGAATGAAATCTGATTATTTGAATGGAACGGAATGGTAGGAAACTGTTAATGGTATACAATAAATTTTACTTATTATATCAGTGAACCAAAACTGAATTAAAATTATTGGAACGAGTGGTAGAAGTACGTTCATTTGAAAATTTGAATTCAATACAACCAAGACACAAATGAGCTTGGGCGCAAACCGCATCAATGCTGCGCCATCTTAATATTTCCTATGGAATTTGGAGTCGGTTGAAATGGAGACGCCCATTTTTAAATGTTTTCATTAAAGATATAATAATCGTATTTTCGCTTCAAAAATACAATCATTATACCGTGTGCTTCATCTCATTTCATCGTAGAGTTGCGAGCAATGGAGTATGCATTATTCGTTGCAATCACGGGCATGTTTTCGATTGTGTGATTGGACCTCTGCCGTGTGGATGAGAGAACACTTGAAAATGACCGGAGGCACTTTTCTTGAATAATAACAACAATTACAATAAGCGAAGACGATTTCTTTTCGTTCTGTTCTTGCCACTATAATTCATTCGCCGTGACAATTCGATAAACTGGATGTTTGTGTGTGTTTGTGAGTGTGTGTCCGCGCGTAAACATGATGCATTCGTAATTTTGTAAAAATGACGAGTGAAAAAAAGATCTGACTGAAGAGAAGCGCATATTTAAAAAGCAATTTTTGTGGCGTGTATCGGAATTCACCAATTATCCACGCAATGAAACTGACTGAGCGGCCCAGAATAAACAGAAAAAATGCCACATTTTACAACTATTATTAATTTGGAATCGATGACTGCGATTTATCGAAATTGATTCGGAAATATTTGCCATACTCGAGCATCGAAAAAGGAAAAAAACACTGAATCGATGATTTCTACCGCTAAAAAAATCAAACCCGCAAAATATTTTTCGGTAAACAAAAGAGAGGCACATGAGTTTAAAAAAAAAACAACAACATGGAAGCATGCAAAGCAATGGAAATCACACAAAAACTTCGATGATGAACGTCAAGGATCGAAATCGACAACACGGGTAGAGAATTTTATCGATTTATTTATTCGCGTCTTTCTGATTTTCCATGTTGCTTTTTTCCAGTGCTTGTGTTCGTGGTTTTTTCTCTCTCTTTATTTTTTCTTTCAATCTTTGTGTGTATCAAAAATCATGGTATGCGCAATATTGCAATAATTTACATAAATTTCCTTTCATCACATAAAATTTTGCAGAAAAAAAACACACATTTATTTATTCATTTTGTGGCAAATTTGTGTGTATGAGTGTGTGTCTGTATGATTGGGTTCGTTTGCAAGAAAAGCAAAAGGTAGATGCCACGACAATAAAAATTTGCCTTTTTGACGATATGCCGAGCGAAACACATGCATTTTTATATCAAAATATACACAAACTTATTTATTGGATCAAATCGAAAGCCGTGCTTGAAATGAAAATGAATATCGAGAAACGAAAAGATGTAATAAAAAAACTTCTTTTGCCAATAATTTTTCTCGTCGTTATAGGCCGTGGGCTCTCAAAACTTCCTCAAATTGCAGTCTGACTGATAAAATATTATATACGTTGAAACTTTTTACTGAACAAAATACCAAAATAATTAGCCCATTTTATGTTGAATAAAATACGTTGAATTGAAGAGCAACAAACAAAATGATTTAAATATATTGGCAATATGTTAGAGTTTTTTGTAAACTCTTTTTTTTCTCTTTTATTAGATTTTTTTTTTTATTCTTCGGCATATATAATAATATTCTGCTTTGTCTGTAATTTATTCACGCACACAATGAAGCAAAAAACACGCATCAAAAGATGCAATCGGTGATCGACTTATATTCGAATCTTTATTATACTCATCTTGTTTCGTTAATCTTATTCGTCTGTCGATCAAAGTTGAGTTTTTTCTTCTACTGCATTTCGTATTTTATTCAAATTATTGGATTTTCAGTTCCCAACCATCTAATTTGCCAAAAATCGATGCTGTGATTTATTGCACTCTGTTTAATTCAGACATATTCAGCCATTTTTAATTGTGTTCATTAAATTTCGTACACAGTTTTTTTTTCATTTTATAAAAGGATTCTTGGCAAATGAAAAAGGGGCATTTCGCATTTGAAATAAAGACTCGTATTAAAATTCACTTTTTCGGGACAATTCAATATCGTTACTCTGTTGTGAAAAGATTTTGACTTAGTCAATCACTTTGGAAGTAATATGGCATACCAGGTTAACTGTGAAGAAATGTTGATATGTTTAGCAAACGAAACCAAACATGCTGACATTGCGATGGATTTGTTTTTGTACAATGTGAACAAAAAATTTGAAATTAAATGATTCTAAATGCTAAATATTTTGAAAATTCTCATATCGCATGCTGCGTTTGGAGGAAAACCAATTCTTCGTTGCATGCTATTTTTTGGAATTCAGTGTGTAAAATTGTTCGTCCAAAATCTAAGAAGTGCACATTCAATTTGAGTATATGTGGTAAGTAAGTTTGGCATCGGCAAAAGCAAATGCTATTAATTTGGTAAGAGTAAACGGTAGCTGGTCTGGTTGTTCATGTTCGAAGTGTCATTAATAGTCAGCAAACCGCAAAAATACAACGGAAAAATGATGTTATGAAAACAATGTTAGTTTCGGACCATTTTTGCCCATAAATTATTTAAAAGATGTGAAGGTATTTGGGCAAAATGCTTCCGAAACGATGCGATTTTCCTCGATACAATTTATTGTCGTGTTTTATGACATGTACACACACATGCATATGCAGAGAGAAAGAGTTGTTGCTGTTGTTATTGAATGTGCAAGTGCACATATGATGATGTGAATATCGGGTAAAAACATGCGAACGAGTAGAAAATGTGTTGCTATTTTGCCATGGCGAAACTTTCAAAAGCCAAAATTATGTTTTGATCAAGTTTATTTATCTTTTTGTATGTATGCGCGCGCAAATGTGAGTGCGCGCATTTTCAAAATTACCTAACCTATAACGATGCGAGGCATTTATTACATCGTAAGTAGATTCAAATTATGCACAATGTGTACTCATACTGTGGATTCGGTTATAGCGTAACATCAACATCGGCAGTCTCATTCTTTTACTCTTGTTCCATTGCCATTCGAGTTTGATTGCATCGCAATTTGAGATGAGTTTGAATGCGCGTCTAAACAATTTCAAGTGGTTGTCTATTTTCGGTCGTGGCCCGAAACACTATAAGCTCAAAATACAAAAAAATATGTACAACCTTCATAACATTGAACAACGAGCACATTATTTCGCATAATGTCGATATACATATATTTTTACTCGCGTCCTCGTACCTTGTGCGCTTGTGGTACAAACGTAAGAAAATTATCCGATAGATATATCGAAACTGATGTTGCTTGAAAATGAACACCAAACATCTGCACATTTACTATTTGTTATTTGCTACTTTTGTGTGGAGTGTGTTTGTGTGTGAGAGTGCTTTTCTGCGTGTCTTTTGTTTTTGTGTGATAGATGAGATGCGCTTCTTTTTCATTCTAGATTTGTATACTATCACCTTCCGGCCTCTCATTCTATTTTTCTATCTTTCTACTCAAATGGCATACACATTGTTCTGTCCATACCCCGTAAACATACAGCAGCACCGTATTCGCATAAGCGACAACATTAAACTAGATAATGTGTGCAAATGTCTCTTTGTATGGAAATTCTTGTCGTTGTTTTACCGAAAATGCATTGCAAAAATGGCAACGTGACGAGGCTGAACAACAACACACTCATTCAACAACAACAACGACTGAAACAGCAACAGCAATTCATAGTGTTCTCATTCTCTGACCGCTCATCCGCAAGCTTAATATAATGGAATATTTTATAAAACTCTTTCCATAGATATCACTAGAGGCACTTTATGCATACACACATACAGATATATATACTTGTTCGTTTATAAAATGCACACACATCTTGGCCACGAAATTGTTTGAGCTCCCCGATGCACTGATGGCATGCACTGCATAGATAATAACAGCACCTTCGCTTAAAAAACAGTCGACCAAAGCTCTGTAGCTCTTTGTTACTCGCTCACTTGCTCCCTCGTTTCCTTGCTCATTTGCTTGCCTGCTTTCGGATGCCGTATGAATTTATATTTACAAAAGTTGCTAAGCAAGTTTCACGTATGCTTCCGTTTCTCGAATAATTTTTCGTCGTTCATAAGTTTTTGGGGTTGTGTGTCGAGTACCACACATAGGAAAAGTGAAGCGAGACAAAAACAAAAGAGAGCAAACGACGGACGTAATTTCAGTCAATGACGAGGAACGTAAAAAATAAGTATTTGATACAAAATTCAAAATATGTCTACTGTTTGTGCTCCACACACAGAGCGAGCACACGTAGAGTATGGATCGTATGAAGAGTTTTTGCTTTTGTATCTATCATGTCTTTCTATCTCTCTGGGGGGATGAATATGCCATATCCAAAAGGGAGAGGCAAAGCGGAAGGGTAAAGGAAAAATGGGAAAAAGCTTTAGAAGTGTTTATCTATTGCTCACTTGTTTTTTGAATCTCTTCGAAGCTTATTTACAGATTTTTGGGTTTCGAACTCGTTTAAGGGCATTTTATCTTGTATTTTCAGCATTTTAAACGCAATGAGATAATTGCTGTGATTCGGTTGCCATTCATATGCCATAAATCAATAGACCTGAAATATGGTAATTCACTTCAATGCTTCGAATATATAGATGTTTTAACGATGATGATAGATCTCCGTACCAACTGGCCTTTTTTGATTAACCAATGCATTTGCCTGTTAACTGCTTGTGTCGTTGATGCTGCTGCTGCTGCTGCAGGATATGATGGCCACTCTCGATCTTGATTTTCGACCACCAAAAATACAATACAATAACGGGCTTATTTCGAACACAACAGAGCCGATGGATTAAAACCGATGCAGTAAATAAAA